ATTTAATACCAGTGGAAAACGCGAAATACCAGCAACGTTTATTGATCCTGGGAAGTTTCAGGTAGTCAACTTTGAGCTTTTCCAAGTCGTTATTCATACTTACGCTCGTTATAAAGCTTCGTGTGGTCACACAGTTCCTATAGTACTTAAAGTTAACCCGCGTGAATATGTATAAAATATATATAAAAATTTCATGTCACGATTTTACATATTTTATTTTATCACGAGAGGTGATAGAGCGATGAACATTTTCCTTAAAAAAAAAATAAACCTGCGATCTTTTACACGCCTTTTGAGTCTGGGAGAAATTTTCTTTGACTCCATCGCAAGGCACGGAAATTGCCCTCGACGAATTTCCATTTTTGCAAATTTTATTGACTCTATAATGCTTCTTCTCTCAAATCTACTTTTAGATTTTACTCTCCTCACTCATTTAGAGTTTATGGCTTATCATTAAAAAAATTTTACGACTTTTCTACTAGTTGAAAAGTTGGACACATTCTCTCGTAAGAGTCACTTTCGCGATAATAATAATAATGAGAAATGTAATAAAGAGTCCATGTGCGCAAAAAATGTTTAATAGACACTTCGTTTTGCGCCTGGAATGAAAATATTTAAATATGGGTGAGAAATATTGATTTTTATTGCCGAGCGAGAAATGTTTAATTCTAGATTTTAGTTATGATAACTGTGAATATTTTTATAGAAACTTGTTTAGAACGTTACAAGAATAAAAAGAATCAAATTATTTCATGTTTTTAATTTCTAATATATTTCATTGAAGAATGTCAGAATAATCGAAATTTCGTAAAATTAGAGTCAATGAAAACGTCAAAGTTTTGCGCGGAAATCAGGGAGTTATTTAATTTGGTAAAATATTATAAATGTAGTTTTAAAAACCTGGAAAAGTCAGGGAATTTGAAATTAGGAAAAGCGTACGTCGGTGAAGTTCGCAACGTTTATGATCAACGATTGAAAAAAAAAATTATTTTCCTACGAAAAAGAATAAAATTTTTTGTTCACAAATATTTCTTTTGTAAATCATTATTCAACATACTAACCAAAATATTTTCTATACAAAAATTAATAAAAATTTGCTTAAAAAAATATTTTTCTTATGAAATCGTTGATTATAAACGTTGTGAACTTCACCAACGTAAAAGCGTGGCAACTCTGATATCCCTTTGGAATAATGGTAGAAATGAGATTAATTTTTCATGAGTTTTGAATAATTGTTGTTGAGATTTTATTGCGAACCTCGTTATCGTCCGTTTTATGTATAAATACATCGATCGACATGGTTTGTTTCTATCCCTTGAAACACAAATATATGTAATCGTGCCATCCCTCATGAGAGTCCTGTATTCTCATAATTGAACAGCAGTTGCTTACTTAATCAATTGTGAAATGAGCATAAGACAAATCGGTGAAATTATGCAGAGCATATTTCTGTATTTATCGTCGATTTGTATACAATTAAATTGATGATTAAATAAAAATATTCATTGTTTTTCTTTTACAAAATTGCAATAAAGACCAGATTTTATTGCCGCCAAAGAAATATTGTATGCGTAATTATTTTTCAAAACTTTCTTCTCTTGGACACTTGAAATCGTAATTTTCAGCACATTCACAGTAGAATTGATCTTCGACTGTGAAAAGCACTTTTATCTTTGCGAGAATCCCAGTCCTCGCATTTTAAATCGTGAAGAGGCTTCTCTAGAATAAGAATTCAGCGTATCTTTATCTCGCTTTTCTTTTTCTTTTTTTCTCTTTTTCTCTTCTTTTTTTCGATAAAGGGTCCTTCATGAAAGCTAGGTCTCCAGATTACTGTCGGCCTAAAGCTTATTCTCGAATTGGGGGCAAAAAAACGATTGAGAAAAAATTTGTCAGGATGATGAATGCGAAGCAGAAATTAAGTGCCATTGTAAATGTATATACAATATGTTGGTTCTCTTTCATTTATTTCTTTTTCGGTAAAATGAAAATGATACGACGGAGAAAAATTGTGAAAATAATGTTCAGTATCAATATTTATTCTACTGATATCGAAGAAATAAATTTAAAATAAGAGCGGAAATTGCTTGAAGAGTTCTCTATTTTTACAAGAAGCACAATTGGGCTTTAGCAATAAATGGTCTTGTTGTATTCCAGCTAAATAATTTGACATAGTTTTAGGACTTGAATAATCAAAGATGCAATTTAGTACTATTAAACTTATCATTGGAAGTTCAGGTGTATACTTTGATGGAAGTTTGTTGAGCCCTATAAGTTTCGATAGTTTGCAAACTGCCGTATATGCGAATGCATCATCTTCTTTGTGTTTCAAAAACTTGTGCTATTCATACTATTTATAAGTTTCGTGCGCATATATTGTTGATTTAAAGCAATCTTTGCTTTTTTATTTCGTTCTTCCCTCGGATGAGGGAAATTCTTTTTCGTTCCTGTGAAGGAAAAACTTTTCATAAAAGGCATATTATATTAAAGAAAATATTTTATAGTTGCATGAATGTGCAATGCGGTATTATATATAAGAACAACATTCTCTTTGAGTACTGTTATTTACATTTTTATCGTTTCAAACTGTAAAAACAAAGTCTTACAGCTAAAAAGTGTCTTTTCTTAAATTCTCTTGAATTTTTGGGTATATAATAAAAATAAATCAACCTTTAGTCTTCAAATTAGTTTTCTAATCTGAAACTAAATTCTTGAACTAGTAATGACAGTTTTGCTAAAGATATCAAATTGAGACAAAAACGTATTAAAATTGTTGCGATGCAAAACGGTGAGTTCTTTTAACCGAAATTGAACTAAAAATAAGAAATTAAATTAAATTTATTAAAGTCAAGGAAAACTTATAGAAATTAATTTTTTTTTTAATTTTTTGCAAATATTAATCAATCTTTTTTTTTAAAAGTAGATCTTTTTGTGTAAAAGTTTCTTACTTCTTTTGACACATGTTATATATAAAAAAGTAAGTAATTTTTCTTCCCATTAAAAGTTTCCAATAGTAGGCGACAGTAAATTGCAACAAGATAATTGTTCACAGTATCAAGTTACTTGATTAAAGTTTTTAATTACATGATAGATCTCTGTAATTTCTACACCGAGAGTAAAAAACAAATGAAAAACGATAAGTAATCTTGAACTTTATCAGGAAAATTGTTTTTTCTCACTCTTTTAATTTGAATCAGTTAAAAATCATGGTTTTAAGTTTTAACTGACAATCAGTGACTGATTTTTTTGCTTCTGAATCAGTTAAAAATAACTGTTATTTTTAACTGATTTAAATTTAGAGAGCAGGAAATTCAGGGAAAAATGGTAGGAAAAGTAGAATTGGTCAGCGAAAATGGTTCTGAATGCTCTAATCAAAAAGCGACTGAAAGTAAGATTTATTTTCCTTATACTTGTACGGAAAAAGGAATAAAGCAACTTTTATTATTTTCACGGTAAATGCTGAATTGTCTGGAATATTAAAAATTGACAGGAGAGGAAGAATTTATTGGCGCGAAATTCAAATTTAATAAAAGAAAAGTAGGTGAAAATATCTCTTGGGGGATAGTATTGGTCCTGGTTTCTGCATTCGGGCTAAGATGTCTTCCGAGATGTCTCGACAATACGTCGAATGCATTTTGCCCACTAAAGTCCGTTATATCGACGAACGACGATTAGTTTAATTTCGTGACGTACGATTATATTTGTCCCCCGTGCGGTTAATTAGGTGCATATGCGGTGGTTTGATATTCATGATTTTCGGGAGGCACAGCAGCCGATCCGGAGTAGACCGGCGAGACGAGGTTGTAGGACGCAGACGTGCAGTTTTGTGGGGATGAAGAGGGCTTTTGCTCGAACCAGGAGGTTCGAGCCGAGGGAGACAGAAATGTGGAGCAATAACCAGGAAGAAGAGAGAGAGAGAGAAAGGGTGTGAGGTGACGTCACGTCGGGTCGATAGCACCCCTCCTCGCAGGGTGAAAGGGTGGAGCGCAAGCGCCCCCGCTTCTTGCTCCTGAAGATAGGTTCCCGCCATATTAGCTGGCATGAGGGCAAAGTGCGGTGTGTCACAGGGTGCTTCTTCTGCTGAGAGACAATTCGTGGGGTGAGCCGGTTGTCTCCGGTTGCCCTTCGCAAGTGCTTGAAATTGCAGGATCCCCTCTATAGGCTGATCCGATGGCACACAGTGAAATGTATCCAGACACAGGGAAAACTGGAGGGAGTGAGGGGTCGGCGAGGTTCAGATGATGTGGCTGCGTTTGACGAACTTGCAAAGGGGCTGGAAGTATAGGCTTGTGTGCGGGTACTCAACTGTGGGGCCGGATGTGTGGATCGACCGCGTGGATCATCCTCGTGCCATGCTTGAGGGTAGGATCTTTTCGAGTTTCCTTCGTTCCGATCGTGCACTCGCAGCAACTCGCAGGTGCAATGTGCGAGGAGAGGGGTGATCGACCTACAATTTCAGGGGTTCATGCACCTCTATAATGCACTGTGGTTCTCTCCTCAGAGCAGCTACTTTGTAGTTTTGCAAATTTACTACTGCTACCGGATTTGTCTACACTTTGAAATCTATCGACCCCACCTATTTTCTGTCTTTTTTGGCATATCTACTCTTTTTGTTTCCAGGTCGTGGCTTTCGATTGCATAAAATTGTCAATTTAGTATAAAGATGACGAATTCGCAAGATTGGTCACCAAATCCTTCAGGAATAATCCAAATACTTTGTAACATATTTCTCTAAACTTGTTCAATTGGCTTAAAAAATAGATTTATGGTACAGATCACAAGGGAATCTAGTTTGTATTTTAATACGTTTTCTCCAACGCCTGCTCTGAACGGAGTACTTTTCTTGTTAGAAAAGCGTGGCGAAAGTAGAACTTTTCTCAACTCTTCTAAAGAGTAAAAAGTAAAATTTGTCCTGGCGAAAGTTTCTTCTCATAGAGGATTATTATTAGTACTTTTGAATATTTAGATGAATTAGTAAGAAACGGGACATATTCTATTTTCAGGAGGGGCGTGGGGAAGTGACAGACATAAGTGCAAGTCCTGGGAGGCAGGCATCTGCCAACCAGTTGCGCCCCAAGGAACCACCTCCTATGGTCATCCAAGGGGATTTCAGAAAGGTAACAACAATCAATCTCTAGTATTCTACCCAGAATAACAGTTTGTACATTGCTCTTAAATTATTCACCCACACAGTCTATAATTGTACCAAAAGATTGCATCCCAATTTAATTGAATCAAGAGCATAATATCGAATCAGTGACTAATAATAAACATTTGCGATAATTTTATCCTACAAGGTGAGTGGGATCAGTACAGAGATTTTCAAGCAAATTCAAACGGTGGAAAATGACCATGACGCTTCGACTGCTGCTGCTTTCGAGGCTGTTGAGAGACGAGGTCAGATGGTTGTACGCACCATCGAACCACGACAGATGGGAAGACAGGCACAAGAAGCTGCAAAGAAATTCGTCTCAGTGCAGGTAATAATGAATCTAACATTATTTTTTTATACCAAATCATCTAGACGTGGACAAGAGACTTGAATTTTGAAGATTTCAAGTTTTTTCATTTACGAAAATTGAAATGGAAATTCTAGCAAGAGTTTATAATTGAGTTGGTAAAAATAGTGTCTTGAAACTTGTTCCAGGATCCAAAATATCCCATCCATTTCGTGGAGATAATCAAGAGTCCGGGACAGACGTTGGGACTTTATATAAGAGAAGGAAATGGAGTAGACAGGAACGATGGCGTTTTTATATCTAGGATAGCACTGGAATCGGCCGTCTATAACAGTGGTTGTCTCAAGGTTCTGTTTCTATCTGCTTTTTTACTTTTTTCAATCCATTATTCTCTGACAACTTTGAATTGAGAAGAAAAAATTTCATCTCATTTTCCAATATCTTTTCGGTTTGATTCATTTCAAAACCGAAAAGTAAATTACAAAGTAAATTATTGAAGAGAAATTGAGAAATCTAAACGGCGTTGATTTTTTCAATAGGTTGGGGATGAAATTTTGGCAGTGAATTTGGTCGACGTGACGCATATGAGTCTAGATGATGTTGTCATTGTGATGTCCATTCCTACGAGACTCATTTTAGCCACGAGGCGTGGTCCTCATCAGCTCATCTCGCATAATCTGCACAGTGAACACAAAACAACACCTGTCGTTGTCATTAAACGAGACATTAACGAAGATGAAAACGATCATTCAACCAGCAATCATATACGGTAATTAGAAATTTGTCAAATTGCTCAAATTCCCATTTAACTAAAGTTTATAAAGTGGAATTTATACCAAACCCCATTTCCATTAATTTCATTAATTTCATTTTGAAAAGTTGACAAAACTTATCTATTATTAATATTCCAGTGACAGCAGTCGAAGGAGAGGAGACGGACGTGAGATGTTACCATCGAGATCAAGATTGGGTCTCACTGGACTCGGATCGACTCAAGATTTAGGATCGAGCAATGGCGATCTCTATTACAATTCTCGACCCGAAGGTCACTGGTCCTATCAACCACCACCGCCACCTGTTATCACCCATCAACCGAAACCATCAGCCACCCAACATTTTCAACCATACGAACGCGGATATCCAAAAACATTGGAAAGTCTCGCTGAAAAAGTAAGTCGTATTTTTTATCACTTGGGATTTTATATTAATATTTATTATTATTAAATGATTGCCCAATGACCAACAAATTTACTAATTTTTCTTCCTTTCATTAATTTTTTTCTGAAAAATAAATTTCAATATTTGCATGTTGTTATCGAAACAGATTTTTAAATCTTGATGGATAATGTCTGGTTTGCAAATTTGTTAAACGCAATAGTACAATTTTTCAGTATGGCGAGTCAGTGATCATTTGATAGTGATGAATTTTATAAACATAGATGTCTTAGACGATGTGGATCGAGCACCTATTTTATTACCTATTTGCACAATTCCACACTTGTTTGCCCTCCACTCTCTAAGAGCGCTATGAACATAATTATAAATAATTAAAAACAAAAATCTATTTGATAAAAGAAAAAAAAGAATGGCGGATCTAGAGGATAAATTTCGAATTTAATACAAATGTTTCTGTGTAAAAAGTAAAATCAATACCTCCGTAGATTTTTTCTTGATAACTTTTTTTCAATTTCGAGAATTTCTTCTTTTGTGTGAAAAAAAATAATATCTTCTCTTCTAATGATAATGAATGATAACGATATAATAGAGTGAAAAATGTTGAGAGAAAAAATTTAACGACGTAAAGACCGCCGTTCAATGTTATTTATAAAGACGAAATTTATTGACTATTCGGTTCTATAATGCTACGTTGAAAATTGACCAGGATTTCACGAAGGTAAAAATAATACAACTCTTCTTGATATCTAGATCTCGTAATGAGTATACTTCAATATGTATATTGCTATACTAAAATTATATTTGGCGCACCCCCTTCGTCTCTCTCTCTCTCTCTCTCTCTCTCTCTCTCTCTTCTTCTTCTTCTTCTTCTTTCTCTTATTTACTTGGGATACTTGAGAGAAAAATATTTTCCTTTGACATAAGAAATTTCCATATTTGAGCAATAACATTTTCTCGCATATGTAAAAAATAACTAAAAAGCTGAGATTTTTGTAAATTTATATTTGATTTTTAAATTGATTCCTCGTAGAGGAAGAATTGTACTTTTTAACTATTCGATTTTGAAAAAATTGAAGAAATTAATAAAGATTGATTTTTTGATGCAAGGGAATTTAAAAAAAGTTTGCTACACAAATATCGATATTTGTTTGAATTGTCAAGGGTAAATAAATTTTTCTCCCGACTCTCACTCTCTTTCTCTCTCTCTCTCTCTTTCTCTTTCTATGTCTCTCTGTCAATCTGTTCCAAAGCTTTTCTATACGTATGTTTATGTGTGCATCTTCCAACATTTTCTCCCCTGCTGCATTATATTGTTCACTTTGCTTCGTGCAGAAAGTACATTTCTTGACAAAAGATGAAATTATGAAAGGTAAATTTTTATTCATAAAATTCATTATACAATTCACATGAATTCCGAGAGAAAATATATAATTTGTGATATGTAGTGAGAATTTTAAATGATAAATTAAATTCGAAATAATCAAGCACGAGGAAGTGATGATAAAATAATAATTATTATTACATTTATGAAACGAATGATATTTTTTGCTTTTATTAATTTTTAATTTAATTTCATAGAGTAATTAATGAATACATAATTACTAACGAAACTTATTACCGTGAATAATATTTTGATTCAAAATCCGTTCAACGTGATTTTATTATCATTTTTCTGTTTGAGTATTGTCGAAATTATCTAAATGCGCTTTCAGAGGATTAAAATTAAATTGTAATAGAATTTTCCTTTTTAAAGATTAAAATAAAAAAGTTAATTATTCATCAATTGAAAATATTCATTATAATTATTGATTTTATTGTTTCGTTTTATTTATATTGTCAAGAAATGTTTTTCTGTTAATTTCAAGGCTTTTAGAAGACTCAGCACATTTCACGGCTTATGAGCAACAAATTTTTTTATTCATTTTTATAAATAATTGAATATTAATACAAGTAATTAATAATTAATTTAATATTAAAACAACTAATAATAAAATTCTTCCTCTATGAGGTGCAATAAATTATATTTTTTTCTAAATGTTATCAAAATAATCTTTTTTTAAGGAACAATGGTAAAAATTTTAGAGATTCGTGAAAAGTGAAAAAGTCGCTTAAAGCTTTTATTTAGAATATATATATTAAAAGAGAAGAAAAAAAATGTTGGACATTTTTTACAAGTACGATTTTTATTTAGGTTCACTCGTTTTACGCGAATCCTGTGATGTCATCGAATGGTCCACGTCGTATGTCCACTGGAACTGGAATGCAGTCAGTAGGTAGAATTTCAAGCCAAACTCCAGCCTCGCATTATGGATACTCTCAGCATACTGGGGGCAGTAGAATTATGCCAAGAAGTGGTTCTGACCAACATTTACCCCGAGTTGATTATACTAGCATTACCACACCAGCACGCCATACGCTTTTGCGGTCTAGTCTCAAGACAGGTAAATTGTAGTCATGTAATTGCATTTCTTTTTCACACCGATAATCCATTTTTAATTAGAAATCACTATGGAAAAAGATTTAATAGTATAAAATGGAAAATGCATTTTTCTTCTTCATTCTCGCGGAGGGAAATTTAAATTCTTTTATAACATTTATTTCTCATGAAGAAAATATTTTTTCCGCTTTTGAAATAATTCTTATATTGTAATTATTTTAGGATCGTCGGCGATGCGCTACAACACGAGATATGGCCAAAGTGATACAACTTCATCGACACGGGGTCAGGGTCAATTTGGTACTTTGACGAGAAGACATCGACCGTCGTTGGATTATGCGTCTGACACCGAGGCCACATGTTCCAGTTCACCTCGATCAGCCTACTATTACTACAGGCATAATCTGAATAATCCATCTCAGAGTAGTGCCGTCTCACATTTGGCGACATTATCGAGGTCGCAGATTGGCCAGGGCTCCACTGGTGAGTCCTTGTGTTTCAAACAAATGCTCATGTGTCAGATTGAAATTTCATTAGCCGAAATTATACACATAGAAGACAGCAAAAAAAGAAAGAAAAAGAAAAAGATTGCATGAAATTAAACACTTATTTTATACATAATAGAAGTCTTCTACGGCAACGTCTCTGTCGCTCAAACAATGGATATGAGGCTATTCGTGAAAATTTACTTCCTTTTTCAAAGTTATTAATATTTTCTTCAATTAGATAATTTATTGAAAATTATTTTCAAAATATTTTCAAAATTATATTTGCATTAAATTTAAACTGAACAAAGGGTGTTGAAATTTGGAAAGATAAAAAAGACGGAAAGTACATTGTTGACTGCTTGGAAATAGTTGCACGTTCGTTAATAATTTCCTTTTTTACATACTTAGGTTATTAATGACTTATAGATTCACAGGGTTTATCAATTTTTTTTCTCTCTTTCTCTCTCTTTTCTCTAATAGACTAAAAAAGCAGTCAATAATGAGCTGACCGAAAGTTTTATAAAAATGTTTTTTTTGGCGTTAATTGAGTTTGAAATTGGAGAAAAGGAATTTTAAAGGAAGGATTTGGTTTTTAACGTTATTTTAGGTTTAAGAACAAACTCTTTGCCTCGTAGCGGCAGAACGTTGCCGCAGCAACCAGGCCTTAGAACTGGTCTTAGCACTGTTACGTCAGGTCTTATTGACCAGGAAGATAGTGATGGGGCATTGTCCGCTCCCGAGTTTCCATCAATTAGACGAGATAGAGGTAAGAAATTCATCTCAAACACCCATTCTCTGCCTTGATCCAGTAAAATTCCTCTCAATCAAATTTTTTTTTTCAATTTTCCATCTCTTGACAAATCAATTTTTTTGTTTTCAAAAATATTTCAGGAGTGTAAAAAATATTTCTTTATATTAGAATTTCTTCATTATCATTTTAAATCGTTAACTTTTGAAAATATTTTTTGTTTGAAAAAGTTTTATCAGAATCATAATACTTATTAGTGCTCGTTAATTTAGTTGGTTACTATATTAATTTACCTAGTAGTATGCATAATTGTTGTAGATTTATTATTACATTTACCCACTAATTTAGGAGAATGAGTTTCCTGTCATCTTTTTTTTTTTTTTATTTTAAAACTTGGTAATTTATCAGGAAAAATTGTTACCAAAAGGTACTAAGCATGTATCTGTTAGCATCTCATATAGTTTGAAAATAGTTGATTCAAAAAGATGAATTTTCTTTTATATAATTGTATAGGACAAGAATTTTCAAAAAATTTAAAAAAAAAAAGGGAAAATGGAAAATTTTTGTTCAGTTTAAAAAATTAAATGAAGTCTCAAATCTCTGGATTTAATTTTACTTTTAATAATCATAGGAAGGATACCTTCGTCGCCAAGTGTTTTCACGTCAGATGAATATCGAGCATGGTTGAGTCGAACGCCAAGTACCAGCGCATTGTACGAACAAATCCGAGCGACGACAAACAGGCCACCGAGATACACATACAGTGCTGAAAATATTCACGCGGCAGCTAATCAGGTAAAATTAATTAACTTAAATTCAATGAAAATAGTTAATTTAAATTGATTCGATAAAAAGAAATAAAGAAATGGAAAAGAAAGAAAAAATGTCAATAATATTCTGAGGTTGGAATTTTAATTATTTTATTAAACTTGTAGGCTGAATATGGAGGATATGGCAGCTACAGACCAATGTCGAGTACTCTAGACAGATTATCAACGAGGTCAGCATCGGCGCAACAAGTGAATCTCGCAAATTTAAGGGCTTCAACTGCTATCAGTTCCACTTCTCATCGAACCGCGAGCAATCCAAGGCCGTCTTCTGTTGCTTCCAACGTTCGATCGTCATTGAGTCAAAAGCCGTCTTTGAGCAGTACTGTCAGTCAGCGAGCAACATCAGTGCGAAGGATCAGAAATCTCCTGGACCTCGAGTCAACTAGAAGCATACCGACTCCCACACCAGCCAGAGCTCAGGATCAAAGACTGCTGGACATTAATCCTGCAGGTGAGAAGTGTTTTTTGAAATTGAAACATTCACTGTAATGAATGTTGAATCAATTTCAATTCTCAATGAAATCGATTGATTTCAGAGTTCCTCAAGTATAAAATAGAGAAGCCACCGACGGTGGGCACTCCAAGTTCGACAAGCTCCCTCTTGAGCTCCCTTGGAGACACTAGTGGCGATCTTTCCAGTGGAGTGAATGGGTTGCTCTGGGTCCACCTGCTGGCAGGTCGTGGTCTTCGATCGACAACTTCATCTTCTGCGGCGACAACACCTTCTACTCCATCAGGTCAGCCAAGTTTAGGTACGTCCGTGAATGCCGATCATTCACGGCTGAAGGCTTGATTTCTTTAAATATTAACAAGAAAAGAACACTAAAATCTCCTCTTATTCTTTACTATTCTTTTTTTTCGTATCAACTCATTTATTTTTCTTTTTTTATCATCTTTTTTATTAAACGTATTTTTATTAGATACTCTTCTATTAACTAAAATCTCACGCACTTTTTCAAGAAATCTTGTCACTTGCACATGACCTCGACTCGAAATAATCTACATGGTTCGAGTGGCACTATTTTCATTATTCTTATTCATTGAAAAATACAAATACACTGGACTCAATTATTGTAGGGTTAATTGAAGATATGAGAAAATATTTCCCTCGTTACAGGCACTTGTGCACTTAGAGATTTGTACTGCGTTCTCGAGTGCGATAGAGTTCATAAAGCAAGAACAGTCGTGCGTACTGGTGATTTAATGTTCGATTGGGACGAAACTTTTGAATTGGATTTGGTGGGAAATCGACAATTGGATTTACTCGTCTATTCATGGGATCCGCAGCATAGGCACAAACTTTGTTACAAAGGATCCGTACATCTAGTTAGCCTACTCAAAGAATCTCCATTGCATCAATTGGCACTGAAAGTCGAGCCACGTGGAACGATTTATCTTAGATTAAGGTACACTGATGCACACCAAACATTTAGACGACGAGGGTTGCCCGTTATATCATTAGCTACTAGAGTTGCGCCACTATTTGGAGTTGATCTGGACACTGTGGTGAGCTATTATTACTTTTCTTTATTCTTAATTAATCTTAATTCATTTTTCTCTCATTCGTTTGATAATGAATAGAAAATATTATTTTAATTAGAAAACACTATTTTGAAATGTTTTTAATAATTGCATATGTTCGTAGGTTACACGAGAGTGCAAGACTGGAGGTGTACCAGGAGGAGTTTCCACTGCCTTGGCAATGAGCTCATCTCCCAACATTCCCATCATCGTTTGGCGCTGTGTCGAGGAAGTTGAAAGAAGAGGACTTGATATTATCGGTATGGCTATTTAATGTGTAATAAACTACTTTACTATTACTAATAAATAATAAATTACTGCTTATCTTTATTTACGATGAAACTAAATTGTCAATTATTTTGTCACAGGCTTGTACAGACTGTGCGGATCGGCATCGAAGAAAAGAATACTTAGAGAGGCATTTGAACGAAATGCCAGATCGGTTGACTTATCGCCGGATAATGTTCCTGACATCAATGTCATCACAGGTAAATTGAAAAAACAATAAAAATTGTTTAAATTTAAACGAATAAATAGAGATTCAAATTTTTAGTCTTCAGTGTGGTAAACAATTTTCTTTCTTTCAGGTGTTCTCAAAGATTATTTAAGAGAATTGCCGGAGCCCCTATTCACGAAGTGCCTCTACCAAATGATGGTGGACGCGCTCGCAGTCTGCCTGCCCGATGATCCACAGGGTAATGCAAAACTCATGTTCAGCATCCTCGACTGTCTCCCAAAAGTGAATAGGGTGAGCTGAAATTTTACTTTTTATTACCTATCATTTTCACTATTCTGAATTAGACTGTTGTCATGTTATAATAATTTAATAATTATGGTTTTAATGACAGAAATATTAATTGAAATTAATATTTCAGTGTACATTAATTTATTTATTGGATCACTTGGCCCTGGTACTGTCGCAATGTAACAAGATGTCACCGGCAAGTTTAGCAGTTTGCTTTGGTCCAGTTTTAATGTTGCACTCGGAAGAAACTGGACCGCAATTAGACTTCCAGCAGCCCATTGCTGTGCTTAAATACCTTCTTGAAATTTGGCCCGTCAAGTCAGGTAATGCTATCGTTCTTAATTACTTAAATTCTCCTTCAATTGTCAAGTTTGTAATATTTTATTGCTGATAGATTTATTAAATTTGCAATGTTTTGAATGTAAAAACAGTGGGAATCAAGTAATCAGTAGCTCATTTCACAGACAGTTCGGAAGATTTCTTCAGTCGCTTCAACACTTCCTCGAGTTACGCAAGCAGTCGAGCACAACAACACCAGCAATCCGTCAATGCCATCGCAGTTGCACTCGCAGGTTCCAGTTCACTTGCAGCATCATCCGGTGCAGGGAACCTTGGGGCGAACCGCGCAGCCTTGGCAGCCGCCACCCTCACTTCATCAACAGCCCCCCATTACAACCCACGTAGCCCCCGCAGCCTCCATTCGTCCTCCACCACCGGTCAAGCCACGACAGGTAAACAACTCTTTTTCTTTTCATTTACTTCTCTCAACGGTCTTCTTCACTCGCATCCAAGCTTTTATTCTGATGCATCCGCAGCGTTTACGAGTTTTTCCCTTGTGTCTCAATCTCAAATAATAACAGAAGAAATTCAATAATTCGAACAATTATTATTATCATAATCAATTTTTGCCCTAGAGACAAATTAAAATAACTATTCTCAGGGCAAAATTTGATAAAAACTAAAAAGGTAATAAGCTGGCTTGGCAAAATGTTGATTGTTAATTTATCACAAAAGGCGAAACTTTGGGAGAGATTTCACTTAAGCTTGAAACGTAATTGGTTAAGTTTCAGTTTTTATTGAAAAAGTTGTTCCAGGATTATTTTTATTATACATATGTGTGTTCTTTCTTGCTTCGTATAATTCGACTTTTCCTTTTATTCTTCTTGAGTGTAGGATCTTGTTTGAAAGCATGGTAGATATCGAAAGGATAACTATCATCTTCATTGCATAAATTTGTCTTTCAAATACGCTTCCTCATTTAACATACTCTCGTGTGTCACTTGCAATCTTCTCATTTCTTTTCCTAACAAGTTTTCAAACAAAGTCTCTGATACTAATTCTCATGTGCTCCCGCGACTTTTATATATATATATTCATGTGACATATCCTTTTTCATGCATGATTTTTTTTCTCATATTAATTATACGTTTGCGTGATATTTAGTATTCACAAAAAGCAGTTTTGATGAAATATTCAAAGATGAGTTATCTTTTTTTTCTAATGGGAAATTCATTTTTGTTCAAGAGAATAAATTAAAAATAATTTGCAAGTATTAAAGTAAAATAAATGCACACAAATGTAAATTTAAGATTAAAGTATATAAATTAAATTAAAAAAAAATTGAAATGTGAATTTTTTCAATTAGTACTAATTTGAAAATTATTTTTTATTAGAGAAATAGTTATTTTGTATTTTGTTAAATTTTAACATCGTATTGGATTTCGATTACAAATGAAAGTTAATTTGCTTTTGTTTCTTTATTTGATGGCCCATCTTTGATGACTGTTGAATCCTTTTATGCGTAAACTGTCATTTCATTTGTAAATAGTTTTTTACACCATCATACCATTTACATAGTGAGATTTACGTTGTCTTCTTTATCTTTTGTTTGGGCACGTATTCAGAGCAAACGCAAATTGCCGGCTCTACCAAAGCGCTGACAGCACAGAGACGCCGCTTCTTGCACAGGTACATTATCGTTATCATTTTCATTCACAATTCATTCATCTCTTTTTTCATCCGTCCGTTTTCACTGCATGCTCTATTTTTCAAGTACGAGGGCAAACAATTTTCAAAATGAAGATCTGAATTCTCCTCGTTTTTATCATTTTACTTGCTTATAATAATAAGGTAGCGAAACAATATTTCTTTCTTAATTTTATTTTATTACAATTAAATAAAAAAAAATTGAGAATTTGAAATTCGTCTGTTTGGAAAATTAATAATTATTATCAGATCTTCATTGAAGCTGTGCGCTCTTGAATGCATCTACAATCTCTACGTATTTTTTATCTTATCCTACACTTTTTAGTATCTACTCAACTTCATTTTTGCCTATGGTAAAATTATTCTATAATAAAATCTTGGGGAATAATTTCATTTCAAATTCTGCAAGAAATGACAATTTCAAAAAAGTGTAAAGATTGTAACAGAAACTTTAAAAATATTGATTTTTCATAACGGTAAACTGAATTGTCAACTTATTCAATTGCGTTTTTAAGTTTTATTTCAGTCGTTTATGTAAAATAGTAAAAAAAAAAATTGACAGGTAAATATCAATTAGTTAATAAAATAAATGTACAAATAGAAATATTTTAATGTGGATAAATCCAATATCATAACTAAAATAACTTTGTGTCTTTCAGGTGATAGTCTCATCTCCCGGTTCCCCTAGCAGTGAGGACTCGACCTTCCAGGAATCAATTAAAGTTAATCTCAACAATGGCCACAAAAATGGTCACACGAACAGTCTCAATAGTCACAATAATGGACACACCAATAACAATAGCAACAATAATAATAACAACAAGGATCGAGGAAACCTGGGTTTCGCGAGGAACGAGAATCCGGAACAAATAACGCCAACCAGCAGTGTTGACACCGAGGAAGGAAATCCATCTCATCCAGAAGAGGGAGAACGCGGCGTTGAAGGTGATGCTGAGGCAAGTGATGAAGATCATCTCTCCAAGCTTCATTAAATGATGAAATTTGATGACGTACTTTTTGTTGTCTAATTTTTTTCTTTTTTTTACAACGCCAGTGTCCAATGGGACCAGGACTATATAAATAGGATTTCAGAACTCGGTGGAACCGAGAGAATAGTCTATGGAAATGAGGCCTAGTTAGAACGAAAATTGAAAAGACTCGAATAGAAACTTTACCGTAACATTTCTTTTAAAAGAAAACTTTTACTGGGACTCTTTTCATGATGAAAAACACAGCGCAAGAATACAGAATGAAAAAATTAAGGACAAAAATAACTCTCGGTATGAAAAAAAAAATACTTTTTCTACTCTATTTTCTTTTTTAATATTTACTCTTTTCAATAACCAAAGATCTCGCCATAAAAAGTTCACAACTTCAAGTTGTTCTTTTTTACGCAAAAGAAAAATTGAACAACCTTTTATATTAATAATTTTTCTAACTTTCTTACTCGATAAAAAAAAAATGACTCTATACGTAACTGAAAAAACCTTCCACATATTATACAATTTTCACTTTCTATATACGTGATGTTAAATCCCATTTTTCTTATAAATCTCATTTCGTATTATTTTTTTTTACATATACGTACAATATTTCATGAATTCATTAAAGAGATTACAGGGAATAACAATTATAATCTCTCAATTGAATTAGAACTGATAAAATTATGAATAAAATTATAAACAATTTTTGCGACATTCTATCGTGATATAGAAATAATTTCTATAACAATGAAGATAAGAAATAAACAAAAACAATACATTACCAAAGACTAAATTGAAAAAAGAGGAACACAAAATAACTCGGTTTATATGCAATATATATATATTATTCTACACGTATTCTGTATACATATTACTATGTATATAGAATATTTTACGATATACATGTGCTTTTGATAAAGACTATTACATTGTAGCTTTAGCCAACACGTACACTAAAAAAAAAAAAATACAGCAACAAATAAAAAAACAAACGAGATACAACTAATTGATACTGACGATAATGAATAGCTATATTATACAAAAATAAAAACTATACAAAATATATATAAAAATTAATTATATATATAAAACTAATTATATATATAAAAACTAATTATATATATATATAGAAAACTAATTATATATATAAAAAAATATATATATATTATACATATATACATACAGGCATACGTACGATTTGTACATATATAATTGTACACGACGAATAAAAGAAGAATATGTGAATCTACTGTATATGTCTGACAATAGAAAAAGTTGAAAAAGAAACCTTAAAACTCACCCAAAAACGATAATAATTAATTAACAAACACAAAAAAAAAGAAAGAAAAAAAGGAAAAGAGTTTAAAAACTATAAAATCCAGTAATAGCCAGTATTATTATACTAACGTCTAGTTGTCTAAAGAATAATATTAGAACAGACTGCTTTTACGTTAAATCGTAAAAGAAAATGAAATAAAAGAAATAAATAAAAATTGACTGCAAGGGGGTAACGTGCACGAATGGCTAAAACACGAAAACCGCCCCTTTTAATCACAATCTGTAACATAATTACCCCATAAATAACTAATTTCGCACAGTTAGTCTTATTGAACAAGTGGATCGTTGCATTAATATTATTATATCAATAGAGATGATCGAAAATTATTGTATAGTGTGTGGTATTGTAATAAGTACTTAAAAAGAGTTATACCTTCTTGTCTCCCCCTCGTACGACTATCTTGAACTCGTTAAAAGAATAATAGTCAGTTATTATGAACTTATAGATTTTTATCTTATTCATACGTTTACTTCCATTCTTTTATTTGGTTTAATTCGTATCATTAAATTTATTTCCAATTGTAATTAAATAATTAATTTATTACTCATTTCAATATAATCTTTTACTTATATCTTTAGCTCTGAGTTTTTTGGAGTTTTATTTATTTATAGTAAAGGAGACAATTATTTATTGTTTATATTTATTGCTTCTTGAATTTTTAGAAACTTTTTTAGTTTCTCAAATTGAAATTGATTTTGAATTTTAAGTTCAATTCTTATTTAGGTAGAAAATATATTTTCTATTCATAACTTTAATTATCAAAATATATTGAAAGGAATTTTAATTAGCATATAGCTAAGTATATTTTGGGAAATAAACGTACGAATAAGATTTAAAAATCTGAATTATTCTTTCGAGAGCTTGATAGTGTAAAAAATGTACGAGAAGCACACTGCCACAATTTTGTAAATTGACAATTACAAAAGAGTTACAGTTGACATCGTGAAGAAACTGCAAGCAGAATGCTTGAGGGATTCTTTAAATAATTATCTTATTCTTGGTTCTTAGTTTTTTGAAAATGTCCACAATTTCGATTAAAAAAGTTAAAAGAAATTTTCAATTATATTTTAAGTTTCTGATTGAAATTGTTAAATAAATATTTATAAAAGTATTATATTTGTAACAAGTTTTCGATTAAAACTAAAAAAAAATTTCAATTCGAATTGTTAGACAAAAATTAAATTTTTAATTTTGAACAAAAGATTAAGAATTAAGAAATATCCCTTGCATCTTTCTTCGGTGATTTTTGTTTAGAACATTCTCCAATTGCATATTTAAATATATACAATTATTACAAATAAGAAAACGTAATAGTCTGATTAGTTCGTTTTTAACAATAAGTCCTAAATGTCGTTTGAACGCACACTTTCAATTTTGTACAAATTGAATTAAACTATCTCACATCAGCCAAAAGTAAAAAAAATCTTTATGAATCGAAAAATTTTTTTCAACTTTTAAAAATAGAAACTGAAAATTCCACGTTAAATTATTTGCAAACAAAATTTTGTATCTTAAAAATTATAACGAAACACTGACGTAATTGAAAAACATCTTTTTAAATTTAAAAGTGAAATCTTTTTTAATTTTCAAATTATATTAATTCAAATTGAATATTGAGTTATAGCCTAAGATGTGGAAAAAAAGTAATCGAATAAGAGAAAATAAAATGAAGAAATGACAAAGTAGTAGATTAAAAAAAGTAATTATTAAGATGACGCTTGCATTACCTGAGTATCTTGTGCAATCGTATTTATCGATTATTAATTAACGAAACAATCTATTATTACTTTTCGCAAGTCATAAATTTCAGCTTCAAGTCACAAGTGATATTCGAAATTTTTAAAAATATTAAAATTAATGGCAAATTAATTTTTACAAAAAAAAAATAACTCTAGAAGCATCGAAGACTGCGTAGACTTGTTTGCTAAAAATTTATGACTTTCCTTTGGATAAATTTTATTAAATTAATGAAAACAAACATGAACAATGGACCACGTTTGTCATAACAAAGTTTTTAATGCTTCTTCTATCTATATAACTATATGACAAAAATTTAGACTTGAATAGAAAATTGAAAAATTTTCCGAAAAAAAATTTGAAAAATTATAAAAAAAATGTTGAAAATCTTTTTTATTCCAAAGAAGAGAGAAATGCGTTTTGAAAATAAAAACGATTGTTTTAAATCAGTGCAATAAATATAAAAACGCAATTTTGAAAAAATAAATTATTATTATTTATAAAGTATTTTATTTTCGCGATTGAAAAAATGATATCAGGGTATTTATGGCGATCGTGAATTGATTAAGTTTTACAGCAGTCGATCCGATACAAAATGAGAAAAATTAAAAAAAAACATAGATTTTTAATATTGAGAGGTGCTTTAATATTATTGTTGTTAATGAATCTCGATGCCACTTCGTCCTTATATCGTTTTTAAAACGAACGGTCAATCGAATTTCGATTTCGCTCATTAATTAAAATTTACAAAAAAAAACTGAAAAAATATTAATGAGTATTAATTACTAGTTTAGAAAACAAAAAGAAAAAAAAACTTTGTACATATTTGATATAGTCGATTCACATCCCTCCCCTCTCATAAATCTTCAGATTTCGCATAACTCAAGAATTTCGCAAACACATATCCCCAACTTCTACCCCCCCCCCCCCCACTGTTATATTTTAAAACTTTTTCACTTGTATAAATATATAAACGACCACAGACTCGCATTTCTATTGAAAAAAAGAAAGATACATAGACACAAAATCGATCATCATGCCGAGTTTTAAATAAGTGCCCCGATTTGAAGTTTTTCTGAGAGTTAAATTCATTTTTTAGTTTCTGCAAAAAAATTATAAATGTGAAAAAGTTTGAGATAAAAATTTGGATAAATTTTGATATTTCAATAGTATGGGATCTAAATATTCCTGTGGAATAATATTTTTCAAGAAAATTTTTGCACTTGAAATCAAGAATATTTGAACAAAATTATTCACAAGATTATTTTTGAAAAATTAAAGGAATATTATTTTAAAAAATAATGTAGCAAATTTTTCTAGGTGAAATATTGTTAAAATATTCTATATCAAGTTTTTTGTAATGCGGAAAAATTGTAAAAATTTTCTTGGAGAAAATCGAGGAATATCTTTAAAAATGAAAGTTCAGTGAAAGTTTAGGAATTATTTGAATAGAAATTATTTTTAACAATAGAATTATTCTTGTGGAATATTAATCGAAAATATTGGAAAAAATTTTTTTTCTAGAATATTGAAACGATTTTTTTCTTGTTTTATATTCTTGCAATATTCTGTAGAAATTTTTATATTAATTTACTGCATTATTCCTTTAATATTCCACAAGAGAATTTTCGGAAAAAAATTTTTTTTAGTGGATTACAAAAAAGATAAAACGTTTTACTTTAGACTTGTATTATTTTTATTCAAGTAAAGGCAAATTAGATCGCAGGGTTATCCTAAGCTTATTATTAGATCATCCTACATATCATAAAAATATTTTAGAGAAAGTAATAAAAAATTAATTGCTTTGATCATATGATCAATTTAATTAAGACAAATTATTACTACGATCGAAGAAAACACTTTCCACTAATTTCTATCCCATAAAAATATTATGTACTTAGAATCGTTGAACGCAGAAGACAGGCCTACATTAAAAATAAAAACTCAATGAACACCAATGAAACTGGCCTCCTTTAAAGTAATAACTTTAATTGTCAGATTAATTAACGCCTCGAAGGTTGAGATTTTAAAATGAAAATTTATTTCTGTTTATCGAAATTTAAAGAATTCGAATTATCTCAGTTTAAAAAAAATGATCAATTTATTAAAGAAACGAATATTTTGATTTATTTACATTACTTGAGGAAAAGCAGTAATTAAACGATTTTAATTAATGGTGGAATTAATTTTAACGAATTCGAATCATAAATAATTCGAAACGATATAAATTGACGCGGCAAAAAATATTAAATAATAAAAAATTTTAAAATTAAAAATTAATAATTAAAAAATGAAATTATTTCAAAATTGTTTTTGTTTGCAAATTGTAGAACAGAATTTTTAATGTTGAGAGAAAATCGTTAATTACTAATGTTGCGTTATATAATTGTTTTGTTGGGAAAAAATTAGAATAAAAATTAGGAAACGAATTTACGAATACATAATAATATATAATTGAAAATTAATTTATTTAAAAACAAATTTACTAATTATATTATTATCTGAAAAAAGGAATTTGATAGTAAAAATGCTTATAAAAAAGTCACTATTTTCTCTTATGAAAAATGACAAAAAATGAAAATGTAATTTAATTTTTATGCGAAAAGCTTAAAAATTAAAAAAAAATTATTGTCAAAACCTTCGTCTTCGTACATATCCACTTCTGAGATCTAATAGTTTTTTATACGAAGGAAAGAGGAGAATAAAAAATGAAAGAACTACATAAGATACGAATAAATATAGAATACAAAAAAATATATACTATTGCTTAAAAGGCAAATAAAAATGTGAAGGAACGAAGTTAGGATTTATTTTCGAACGAAGAAAGGCATTTGATAATTATATTTAATCATCGCAAAAACGTTCATCAATTAGATAATATATTCCTCAAAACTTATTAGAAAAAAAACTTACTTTGTATGCACGATGCGTTTAAAACGAAAAAAAAAATTAAAAGCAGTCAGTAGATTCACTTTCTATAAAATTTATTATAAATATAATAAGTAAAACCAAATATCATAAGTATCATCTTAAATAGTATTTGCAATGAGAGTTAAATCTTAATTGATTTTTAAGTATTTATAATTTTTTCAAAATTCTAAACAGAAGATAAGAAGAATTAATTTTTACAACTAATTTAAAACGTCTTTCTTTTTTCATGATAAAAAAACTCTTGGAATTATTTTAACTCTAATGGGGAATAATTCGTACAAAAAACCCGAATTGCAGGTGTTGCGACAGTATTCGATTCAAGTACTGACTGATTGTAATTTTTCTCAACTTGAACTCTTTTTTATTATATGCGAGTCTATACGATTTAAGCTTGTCTACAAAAGAAAAAAAATGCGCGCAGTGGATGTGTGAAAAATCGAATAAACAAAAAATCTTGTTAAATCAATTGCAAAGTGCTTGCGAGTTTTGCAAAAATATATAAAAGAACAAATGAAAAATAATTAAATATACGAAAAAGAAAATATTATTATACTGTCAAAATGAGAGACAAATTTTAATTATTGGCTACAACAGGAGAAGTTTCTAGAAGAGAACGAAAAAAAAAAATAAATAAAATTGCCAACTGTTGACTGTTTTTAATCTCGAAATTTGTTTAAAACAAATATTTACAGTATTATATGAATACAGTGTTAATTAAGCAGATAATTAGCGAATGCTATTCACACTGAAAAAGTTGGTTAGATGCATAATAAAAAAATGAAAAAATAATGAAATGGAAAAATAGAATAATTATAATACATAGTGTAATTATTATAATTGATTAATTAATTGTAATTAGTAGCGTACTTGCAGACATTGCAAATTAATGTAGTATTCTAAATACTACAGAAATAGTAATTGTGAATGTAATTCAATATTCTCATTGATTATAATTAATTATATTTATAATAAATTATAGACTAAAGAACTAAATTGATAAAATAATTAATTATAATTAATTA